TCCTGCCCCTCCCGCAAACCCAGGGTTGTGCCCCTACTGCATTGAGTTCACGCGCACCAAGCTGGCAGACCTCTTCAAGACCGGCCTGGCCGCCATCACGGAGCTGGACTTCATCCCCTCTGGCAACGCAAGGCTCCGCGATGACGGCAGCATCGCCTGCCAGCACGGGCCGAACGTGAGGGCGCCGCCCTGGTCGCGCACGTCGGGCCTGAGCCGCAAAAATCGCAGTGGTCGCTCACACCTGGCCTCCAACGCGCAACCACCACCACCTGGCCCTCTACTCTCTATAACCCGGCCCCCCTCCCCGCCGCACCACATCACGCACCAATACTGCCACATGCACCCTCATGCGCGCGCGCGCAGGAGTGCGCCCTGAACAAGGCCATCGCGTGCGCCCTGGCCTTTGCCCCCAGCCAGGACGACTGGTTCCCCTTTGTCGAGTGCATCGAGGCCAAGGCAAAAGACGACGCCGGCCTGGACGTGGCAAAAGCGGCGGACGCGTGCGCTGTGCACGCGGGGCTGCTGCCCAGCCGCGTGCTGGGATGCTACAAGGGTGCGCACGCTTGGGAGCGCCCCTGCTGTTGTGGTCGTCCACGCTCACCCGGCCGCGCTTGCGGCGTTTCAGGGAGTCATTGCCACCGCTGCACAGAGCCTGGAGGGGCCACCGCAGCCGCCTGCGGCTGCGCCTGATCCGCTCTGCACCTGCCATAGCCACTCATTGCGTCACGTTGAGCCCGGTGCAGGCCGTAGCCTTTAGTGAGCACGCCTTGGCGCAATGACCACCTGCGGGACAGGGCCGCTGGGCGACACCCTGCAGCGCCGCGCCCTGGAGCGCACCGAGTCCCTGGTGCCGCCCCACAAGTGGGTGCCCTGGGTGGTGGTCAACGGCATACCCCTCTTCGACGACTTCGACAACGTAGCCACCTTCATCTGCGCCGCGTACAACGGCTACCCCAAGTGAGAGCCGCGCCGGGGTCTCCCGCCTCCCCCCTGTTGCATATCCCTGGGCTATGACCGCTTCTGCAGGGTCTCTGGTACCGGGCGGCATGCATGGCGTTGGGACTGGCTTCGGCCGCGCCAGGCACACATTGTGACCCCTGCGCTCCCCTTGGCACCCTGGAAAGCGTCACCAACCCTCCTCCTGTTCCCTCCTGCTCCACCCCACCCGCCCTTCCCAACAATATCAGGCCCAAGTACTGCCTCCACCCGCCGCCCCCGGACCCCTCCAGTCAGCTGAATGCGCGTGCCTCGCTTAATGTTGGCGGCGACTCAGCACCGTCCGCAGCGCCCGAGGTCGCGCATGCGGCGCCAGGTAGGCACGGCATGGGGAGGCTGGCCGGCCGCGTCGTGGCTGAACAGTAGGTGGTTTACAGCGTGAGGCGGCCCACGTTGAGGCCTGGGCTGTAGCGGCAGCGCTGTTTCACAAGCGTTTGCGGGTGAAAACAGGCCGCTGGGGCATGGCTTATGTACCGCTCTGTACGCTGAGGACACAGCTTACCGCGGGCGCAGTGCCGGTGTCAATGCCTGCTAGCTGGATAGGCAAATGAGTATTGCGGCTGATATTCCGTGTAAGCATCTTCGCTTCCTGCTTGTTGACATGCGCCTCGTCACTGGGATGACAAGAACTCCTTTCAGTCCTGGCTGTGGTCAAAGCCGCACGTGCGATGACGTTGCATTGAATGTTTCAAGTTTCAAAGAATTGCACATTTGTTGTCTTCTTTGCAACGCAGCTTACATGCCGGCCGTCCCCAAGCCTGCTCAATGCTCGTGGCCAGCTGTTGGCTCCGTCATGGGTGTGGAGGTTTGCGCTGTCTGGGCTGGAATATCTTGGGGCTATCGGCAGCGTGTGTCCAGGAGGTAGCAGGGATTATGGGGTTACTAGCCGTCAGGGGCGTCGTGATTCACACCAGACCAATCTCTGGCAACTCTCTGGCCTCCACGGATGTCGGAGGCAGACCAGCAGTGTTTCAGCTGGATGCTTTGATAACCGAGCCAGTTTCAAGGACCCTGCTGAGTATAAAGTTGAAGATACCTGGGTTTAGCAGCAGGTAGTCTCAGGGTGTATGAGTGAAATCAAGTCCCCTTCCTCAAAAAGCGGTCCAACAGTGTCGGCTGCGGGAGGCCACCGCCTGCCCTGCCGCTGCGGCCCGTGCTGGGTTGCATACCCCGACGGCCCCGACCTCGTCCTTGGCCGACCGCCACTCCTGCGGGCGCTTGCGGCCCAATGCCACCGGTGCGACCCTGCCCAGCAGGTGCGGCTGCAGCCGTCGCTGCGGCCGCTGCTGCGTGCCGCTCCTCCTTCTGCAGCCTCAGTGCTAGGTGGTAGTCCGCGTGAGCCTGCCAGTCCACCGCCTCGACTGCAGCCCCGCACTCGTGGCACGCTGTCGTGCGCAGGCTGGCGCCAGCAGCGTCGGCGTCTGACAGGCAGTCCGCGTCAGAGTCCCAAGGGCAGCCGCTGCCGCCGCTCCTCACCGCACGCTCCCGCAACGCGGGGCAATCAAACGTGAAGCTGTCAACTAAGCCTGGTGCACCTGCTGCTCCGGCCGCCGTCGTGTCAACGAGCAACCCATCATCCTCCCCAACCTCCTCCTCCTCCCGCTGCTGCTGCTGCTGCTGCAATTGTGGTGGGACTTCGTGCAGCTGCCGCAGCAGCGCCTTCTGCTCATCCTCCCCCAGCTCACTGCTGCCCTCCCAGGCGTCCTCACCCTCACCCGACGCCTCCGCTACAACGCTCGCCTGGACAGGCCCTGCCGCCTCAAACACCCTCGCCTCTCCAGACGGCTGTTGCTGCTCCTGTCGGCCTGCGTCTGCCATCTTATCGTCTTGCTCCTGCTGCTGTTGGTGCCGCTGCTGTTGGTGCCGCTGCTGTTGGTGCCACTGCGGCTGCGGCTGCTGCTGCTGTTGCCGCTGCTTCGACTGTGGCGCCAAGACAGCGGCAGCCCTTTCGCCTGCCTGCCTTCGTTCCTCGGCGCCCCCGCCGTCGCCCTCGTCACCGCGCCGCGGCTGTAGCCTTCGGCCCCCTTGCTGCCGGCGCTCACGGCGCTGCAAGTCATAAGACAGGGCGCCCCCCTTTGGCGTTTCGCAGACCTCGCACCGCAGCGACCAGCCGCTGTTGCCCGCAAAAGTGCACGCGCTGCATGCCCAAGCGGCACCCCGCAGGCCCGCGGCTACGCCGGCAACCCGCGCACGCTTGGCCGCCCGGGGGTTTGCTGCGTCAGTGTCAGGCATGGCTGCTGTGGGGTTGGTCTCCTCCTCTTTGCTCTCTTGCTGCTGCTGCTGCTGCTGCTGCTGCTGCTGCTGCTGCTGCTGCTGCTGCTGCTGCTGCTGCTGTTGCTGCTGGCCGCCGCTTGCAGCTGCGGCCCTTGGATCTCCAGGGCCGTCCCCTGCGCCCACCCCAACGCTGTGCGTACGGCCAGCTGCTGCATCCAAAGACGCTGCCAGGCCCTCGCTGCCAGCGTCTGCGCCGCCGCTGGTGGGGCCGCCAGCGTTGGCGGCGCGCTGCAGCAGCCGCTGCAGGACGCCGGGTGCGCCCGCGCTGCCGATCTTCCGCAGGTTGCTCATGCGCACCCCCATGAGGCGCGCCTCTACCGGCAGCTCAGCCTGTGGGTGTGTGAGTGTGCAAGGTCACTGGTGGGTCTGAAATACGCCGCATGGGCAAGAGGGTTGATGCTTCACGGACCATGCAGTTGCAGAGCAACTGAAGCGCCAGCATGGCAGGGGCGTCAAGCAGGCAAGGGTTGATGCAGCCCCAAGCGAGCAAAAACAATTGAAGCAGCACAGCAGGGGTGAAGGATGTCAGACCAGACCAGTCATAATGCGGTGCATGCTTGACCCCCGCGCAGCACCATCTGCCCCTCTCATGAGCACCCCACACCGCTGCCCACCTGCAGCAGCTTTGTGAGGGGCGGCATCATGTCGGCCGCGGACGATATGTAGTGCGGCAGGGTGGCGGCACGAGTTCGCACCTGGGAGGGGTGAGGGGGAATGCAACATCCACAACACATATGGCCCACAGCGGGTCAGTGCCCCTTCGCACTGAGAGCTACAGCAAAAGCTGCCCAGGAGCTGCCAACGCCCCGAGATATGTGACACACCAGCAGCCCTCAGTGCTCCAGAATCCAGCCCCATTCCCGGCTGCACACACCTCAAACGTGGTGGCCTTGATCTTGAGCGTGATGGTGCGGCCCTCAATGGCCTCTGGAGCCATGTCAGCCGCCAGGTGGTCTGCCAGGGCGCGC